GACACCCTTGGGCACCACATCCCAGCCACCCACAGCACTGGTGTCCTCTCCATCCTCCCCTGTTGGTGTTACGAGTGCTCAGCTCCCAGCAGAGCCCATGACACAGGGCACAGCCACTCCCAGCCCTGTGGCTTCCACCTCCAGCACCTCTCTTGCCCCAGGTACCACCGAGGCCAGGCTTTCACCCTCTCTGAGCAGCAGCACGGAGACATCAACAGCTCAGCTCACCCCCACAGCCCCCACCCAGGGACAGCCCCCGCTGGGGGTGACAGTCACTCCATCTCCCACGGGGAGCCCTTTGCCTCCTGTCACCATGGCCTCTGTGGGCAGCAGTGCCACGACTCCTCCTGGAGAAGGGGACAGCTCCACCGTGAACCAGGGGATCACAACAGCTGAGCCCACTGCCAGGACCTCCCATTCCCTCCCTTCCACTTCCTTGGCAATGCCATCCACGACGAACCTTAGTACATCAACATCTGTTAATCCTTCTTCTACTGGAACTTGCTGTGAGTATTTTAACACAGGATGCTATATTTATTTTCCTCTATTTTTGGAAGAATTGAGTGTAATTTTCTTTCATTATTGGCATTTTTGTTGGAATTAGAGCTTTTTATGATGTCTTTTTTTTTAAGCTGGGAATTTAATCCAGGAATATGAATCCCTGCATCTATCTATTTTCTGAAAAGCTGAAGTTCCTGTCTAGAGTTGTTTTTGAAATGACACACCTTGTGTTAGGCAGTGCCACGGGGGTAAAATGCTATGTAGTTATGCTGCATGGGCCAAGTTATGTCAACGGGAAGTTTTGTTGGTTTTTATTGGTTTTTGTTGGTTTTGTTGATCTTGTTCTTGAAATTTCCTTTTATGCAATACTTGAGTTCCTTCTCTGGGAGAATCCAGATGAATTTTTTCTTTTTTTTTTTTTGCTAATTCGATTCCCATTTTTTTCAATACAAATTCTTTTCTAGTGTAACTTTTCGCCAAAGGGCTATCTGCCCATATTCAAAGAATACACAGTAATGAACCTTTTGTCATTTTTCAATGGATAAAAAAGTAAAGACAGAAAAGAGGAGAACGCAGCTTTTTTGTACTCTGCACCCAAAAAACAAAGGCAGCATGACTTCCACTTTTAGTGCATAACAGAATTCTTCAAGATCTATTAGTCCAAGGGGTTTATCCTCCCCCTGGATCACAGTGCTCACAGAAAGCAGTAGGAGATATGCACACACGCACACAGTGAGGTACAGCTTGGTCTTTGACAATGGCTCAGTAGCCAAGAACAGCCCAGTGGCGAGTGGCTCCTCAGGGGTCACTCCTGGGACTGGCCCCGTGTCGTGTCTTTGTGGGTGACATTGACAGCAGGATTGAGGGCACCCTCAGCAAATCTGCTGATGACACCACGCTGTGTGGTGCAGTTGACACTGTGGAGGAAGGGATGGCATCCAGAGGGGCCTGGCCAGGCTTCAGAGGTGGCCCCTTGTGAACCTCCTGGAGTCCAGTGAGGCCAAGTGCAAGGTCCTGCACATGTGTTGGGGCAGTGCCAAGCACAGTCATGGGCTGGGCATGGATGGGCTGAGAGGACCCCAGAGGAGAAAGGCTTGGGGGTGTTGGTGGATGAAAAGCTTGGCATGACTTAACCATGTGCCCCTACAGCCTAAAAAGCCAAAAGTGTCCTGGGCTGCATCCAAAGCACCGTGGGCAGCAGGGGAGGGGAGATTCTGCCCCTCTGCCCTGTCCAGGTGAGACTTCACCTGCAGAGCTGCCTCCATCCCTGGGATCCCCAACATGAGAAATACATGGAGCTGCTGGAGGAGGTCCAGAGAAGGTCACAAAGATGCTCAGAGGGCTGTGACAGCTCTGCAGTGGAGACAGGCTGAAAGAGCTGGTGCTGTTCAGCCTGGAGAAAGCTCCAGGGAGCTTTCTGCTTTTCCCCCTTCCAGTATCTAGAGGGGACCTACAAGATGGACTTTGTGCAGGGGCACGCAGTGACAGGACAAACAACTTTTAACTGAAATAGGGCAGGGCTAGGGTAAATAACAGGAAGAAAATCTTCCCTGTGAGGGTGGTGAGGCCCTGGTACAGGCTGCCCACAGAAATTGTGGATGCCCAGTCCCTGGAAGTATTCAAGGCCAGGTTGGACAGTGCTTGGAGCAACCTGGAATAGTGGAAGGTGTCCCTGGAGATCAGAACCAGATGATTTTTAAGCTGCCTTCCAATCCATTCTGTGATTTTGTGATATGATTCTATATTTCGTATCTTAATAAAAACGTTGCAGAGACTTCAGTATTTCCCTAGGCTGTCAGTTTCCCATTAATACGTTGTTCCCTAGAGACACACAGACTATAACTCCGTGTTTCACAAGAACTTCCTTTTTGCTTTCCAGCTCCTGTCACTTTGTCCATCCAGCTGCAGAACGTGACCAGTACGATGATACAGTTCAGCTGGAACCCTCAAGGTGGCACAGCAGACAGTCTTTACACAGTGAGGCTGCTGAGAAAATCGGGAGAGATGGAGGAGAGAATCCTAAATGAAACAAGCACTGCATTTGAAAATCTGACTTCTGGTCTTCAGTACCAAATATCCGTGGATGTTTCAACATGCTCTAAGAATGTCAGTACCTCCTTGACAGTTCAGACAGGTATTTCCTCTGGAATTTTTTCCTTTTCTGTTAGCAAACTAACACATTCATGGCCTGAGCATGAAGCCCTTTTACACTGAGCACCTACCTGGACATGAATAAGCTACATATTGAAATGAATAGGCAAAAGGAGGCCAAACTTTCAGAAATTTAAAGTCAGACTGCAAATTTTTCACGGGGCTAAAATCCAGAGACTCACTTGTCCTGCTGCCAAATTTAAAACTTTACTGAGCTAGAATCACAGTGGTTCAATGTTCTAGCCTCTCCCAGTTCTATGCACTTTAATTCCCAATTCTTACTTAGCTGAGAAACCATTTTTAAACGATAACTTAATTTTGTCTGGTTATTCTTCCATATGTCCACAGCTGCTGAAGTCTACATTGGAACCACTAGGATTACCAGTGAAGATTTCAAGACTGAATATGAGAACAAATCAAGTACAGAATTTAAGGAGTTTGAAAATAAGTTCATTATGGAGGTATTTTTCTTAAAAATTCTAAACTAAAATTTTATTTTCTGCTGAGCTTTTCTTAATGTAAATAAACATGAGGCTCTGGGTATGAATATCTTAAATGTGGGTGGGAAACATTATGTGATGCTTAGAAATGAAGAAGAAGTAATTTTTCATTTATATTGTTGTCCTCTGTGGCCCTGATTTAAATGAAATTCTGTCTGGAAGTTATATACATTCTCCTGCTATGAGAGCTGCTTTTAATTGAGTTGTGGCTAGCATATTACTATATGTTAAAGAAGAAAAATAGATAGTAACTTAAACCTTTCACTTTGCAGATAACAAAACATCTGCCACAGAAGTTACAAGAATTAAAAAATGAAGAAAAATTACGTATTGTAATCAAAAGCATCAAGCAAGGCAGTGTGATTGTGCAATTTGACATTGTGTTGGATGTTGGACAAAATATAACAAAACCAGAGATTTCAGATGCTCTTACAGAGGCCCTTAACAGGAGCACAGAATTTGTTGTTGATCCTCAAAATACTTCTATAGAAGGTATGAATTTGTTCATCACTGTGAGTTTAAGCAGTAGTGTGTATTTTTCACTGGTGGCAATGTCTGGTGAATTGGGATTTGGGTGGGGAAAGGCAAATGGCACTTGGTTTACCTCTTTTTCCAATACTGACTTTAATCTTTGTTCTTCTTGTGTTTTGTTTAACTCCACTGTAGCAAGGAATAGCTGTGAGCCAGATTTCAATGACTGTCACCAAAATGCTACCTGCACCCCTGAAGGAGCCACTTATTCCTGTCAGTGCAACAAAGAATTCACTGATCTGAGTTCCCAGGTTCCAGGGAGAGTTTGTCAGCAGGATCTACCTTCACGTAACTGCTTTTTATAAGTTATAAAACCCAACACAAACCTTAAAAAAATTGCATATAAGGCCTTTTCTCTTCCTTGACCCTCCTTAGGCAATATCTTACTATAATTATGTACACTGGCCTGGGAGGGATTGGATTTTATGTGGTACCACAGTTAACTATTTAGGCAAACAATAGAAACATGCTTTCTGGGCTTGTTTTCTGGAAGTCGTTTATGAAAATAAGAAACATAAACTTGGTCTACTTCAAGATAAATTCTACTCACTGCCTCCAAATTTCTATTTCACAGAATACAGAACTCCAGCTCCTCCAAACAACACCACCACCAGTACACCTGGAACAGGATCCACAACTTCAGCCCCTCCAAACACCAACACCATCAATACAACTGGAACAGGATCCACAACTCCAGTTCCTCCAAACACCAACACCACCAGTACACCTGGAACAGGATCCACAACTTCAGCCCCTCCAAACANCTGGAACAGGATCCACAACTTCAGCCCCTCCAAACACCAACACCA